TGATATATCCTTAGTAGTTGGCCTCGAAACAGAAGGTTAATTGGTTCAAATAATTGGTCGGTCTATTTTTCACAAACGTCTCCACGACTTTAGAAATTGCAGGCTAGTTAGAAGTAATTGATGGATCTTCCCCTTGAAGGAATGATAACAACCTCTTTGACCGGAGTGTTTTACACATTGCCTTTCTCAAAATACGAAATCGCACATTATAATTCTTCCTTCTTGATTTTAAACATTACGTAATGGAATGCTGAACGTTATTGTGAACTTTTCTAGTCCTAATTTTGAAAAAAAAAAACTAACTAATACTGTTAAAATGAACAGGGTGCTTTTTTATATATTGACACCCCACTTACAGCCTTCACCTTTACAAGTAGATGAAAGGTGTGAATACAAAAGTTGTACAGTATTGGCTAAATTTTTAGAATCCATGGTCAGAAACAAAAATTGAATGTCAGAAATGTGAAATATTGCATGCTTTCAGCTTTTTTGAAATGGCATGCGCTATATTTGATTCTATATTCTTGAAGCGCACAATTTCCCGATTTCGAAACTATATAGTTTGTCTATATTTGGTTGAGGCGTCTCCAACTTATTTGGTTCTGAAAATTTTCAAAATACTATCAGAGAAACCAAGTATCTCAAATTTTACCTGCAGTTTTCACCTATACGGGTAGAATGGTTCACAAAATCAGTAGTAGGATAGTATTTTTACAATTTTTGGAGCCGAATATATGAGAGATTGCTCAATCAAATATAGATCGGGGCATTGTGCTCTTCAAGAATATAGAATGAAATATAGGGTATTCCATTTGAAAAAAGCTGGAAGCATGCAAAATTTCACATTTCTGACATTCAAATTTTGTTTCTGACCATGGTTTTTACAGATTCAGTTAAAACTGTATTGTTCGTCGATTTTTAACTGATACTTGCGGTATGAGGAGCGAGAGGGTGTTTCATATGGCAAAAACAGGTGTGACGTCAGGTAACCATTGGCGTTCTAATGTAGGGAGCCACCAGCTCACATTCCGTCCGAGTATCAGAATAAAATCGACAGACAATACAACTTTTGTATTTACACCTTTCTTCTACCTGTAAAGGTAAAGGCTGTAGGTGGGGTGTCAATATATAAAAAAAAAACACCCTGTACATACAAATAAGTGGATTATTGCGAAACTTATGGATGAACCTCTGCGGGACGAGCGCAGCGAGTTCCGCAGAGGTCCACCCATAAGTTCCGCAACAATCAACTCGTTTGTGCTTGAATAACTTGTCACATTATGTTACTAGTTTGGTAAAGTAACATTACTAATTCCTGTTGAAAGGCAAATTGACAAAAAGTGGATAATCTTACAAATTCTGACTCTATATACCGGGTGCTCACGAGATTACTTTCCGGCTGCCATTTTTTTATTTGTTTATCGATATCAACGAAACTTGATAGGCTTGATATTCTAACGAAACGCCATTTTTATGCATTTATGACAAGTTTTCCTGACTTCCGGTTTCACCGGAAATAACCGAAACTTTTTATTTTCAAATGGCACACCCTGTATATTTTTTGTTTTTTGGATTTTACAGATCGTTTTACTTCCTAATGTACCACTTTTAAATCGAGTTTTGTCCAAATTCCGTTTTGAAATTAAATTTTAGGTAGAAAAAATAAAATTACTTACATAATGAAACAAAAATATTTGAACGAAAATTAAGAAAAATGTCGTGGTGTATTATATCGTTGGATTCGCTTTGAAATACTGCATTTAGTAATGTTAAGAAAGTGATATGCTTTTATTCTAGTTTTTGAGCTAAGGCAAAAATACTAAAATAATGAAGTTTACAGCCCTCTATTAAAAAAGTTTACAAAGATAAAACTGAGTTTGTATTTTTCTGAAATTAAGTAAAGCATGTAGAGTCATTTTAGAACGATCATGGCACTCTAGTTGAAAAAATTAAATTTAATTGAAAAACAAAATTTGGATTCAAATATAGGGCATCCCATATGAAAAAAGCTGGAAGTATGCAAAATTTCACATTTCTGACATTCAAATTTTGTTTCTGACCATGGTTTCTAAAAATTCAGCCAAAACTGTACAACTTTTGTATTTACACCTTTCTTCTACCTGTAAAGGTAAAGGCTGTAAATGGGGTGTCAATATATTAAAAAAAAAAACACCCTGTATTTACGGAACTGTTTCCGAGTATTTGGTGATGTAGGTGCCCTGTTTTTCTCATTCACAGTATCATCATCTTCATCACTTCTATAATTTCATATCAATTTTAACTCCAGAAGACACACAAGTGACACTAGTATCATCTTCCAAATACACTTGGTAGTTTTTCATCAACATGAACAAATTCATTGAAATCCTTTTTCAGTATAAGACTCTCTTAAATATAGTGATCATCTGTTGACTTTTGATTTTTTTACTCCATTCAACTATTACTTTGATTCTAATTTATATGTCATCATTCTGAACTTTGAGAAAACCGCGAAAACCGCTACATTGAAAAGAATTAAATAAATAAATGTATTGTGCAATTTTCCCCGTACACTATCGATAAAATGTATTGATTCCAACTAACCTGATAATATCCGGTATTGAGTTTAGTTATAGCTATAGATATCTCTCAGAGCACACTGAATAATCGCCACTGACTTTTGATAAGGCAGTCTAATAATATTGCTAGTCTTTATGTATGAAATTCAATGGTTATAATTTGTGAAGAAACTAACACACATTTAATAATGTAGTTTATTAATTGGCTTATTGGAGAAAACTTTGATTTTAATAGGTTTTGCAGGCATATAATGATTAATCCATTAATCCCCATAAATAAAAATTTAATATTTAAGCAGAATATTTCCATCAGCGTTTTGTAGTGATCTGGTATCGTCACCACAAAATAATACAAAAATACTTAAAAATTGAACAGTTTCGGTTTATTTTATACTTGTACACAAAATATGACTATGGCTAAAAAATGGAGACGTTACTCCGTCTTAGAACTCAAGTATCTTTCTCAAGATACAAGATATAAATGTCCTCAAACTTACGGCTATTCTCAAAGCTAATTTTTTGAATCCTAGTTGGTGGGAATGTTGTTTGTCGGTTACTTGACCAGCAGTTTCGCAGATTGGTACGTAAAAACCCATGAAGTATTCTAAAATCATCTATACCCAAAAAGGGCCATTTGCTAGATGTTTATTTGAGACGGCTGGCGGCTCTTTTGTTACTTAGTCATTATGTTTTTAAAAATATTCAGAAAGTAGACCCTTTTACATTAACAGGAATACTAAATAAATAGAATAGTAAAGTTTTATTGGTAAGTTATACTTCTTTTTTAGGCGACACCGCTGTCTGTCATTTTACTGATTATTTAAAGGAGGATATCTAATATGGAAATAATGTATTGTTGGATTAATTAGCAATATCTATGCAGTAGGATTACAACAGTTTCTTTATTGAGAGAATTAAATTCCAGTAATTTATTTCGCAAATAATTGGAACAACCAAAATAGAACATTGCATGGTAGCGTTTTCATGTTATCTGTTGATTTTAATTATTATGCGTCGATCTATTCAGACAAGTTTGATTGAGAATGTGTTCATTGGAAATTGCGTTTCGGTTATGTGGCTATGACATAAATTTGATCGATTGCTCGTTTAGCTAAATGCAAAATTCACTTCAGTTTATCAAGTACATATACCACAGAAATCCCTAGGCAAAAGCTAATACCTATTTTTGTTTAAAAAAAATGGAAATGGCCATAAAAGTATTGAGCTTTGTCTTTGGTCAAGTTGAATCATCACCAAAATCTAGACAATCAAAAGATTTCAATAGAATAAAAGTTAAATTTTTTTTATCTCAGCACCATTTGATATCAATTTAAGGTTTTGTTCAAAACAATACTCTCACTATCCAAAGTTATTCGATTCAATATTCGGTTTGGTCCCTCACTGTCTCAAGGTTCAGATTGCACACTTGTTTATGAATTTTATAATATCATGGCATTTAGTAGGTAGGTATGTAATATCCAGGTAATTTATCATCAATTCCTAAGAAAGTCAATTTAGAATAGAATTAGGCTATTATCTTCTGACCTATGATGTAGCCGTCTTGGTCTATAATTAGTCCAACAAAAAGTTTTTCCAACTTTTCATCTCGGTCCTATAGACCCAAGAAGTAAATTGAGCTAAAACCAAATTCGTAAAACCACAGATAATGGCTAAACTTTATCCTTAATGTGTATTAGTAATACCTACAATAAAAAATTTCAAATGTACATAGGTACATGAAATAAATAAATAAAATGATAAAACAAAACATTCCTGACTACAAATTAAATTGCAAAACAGATGATAGGATCTTTATTTTGGTAAAATTTGTAATAGATACTGAAATAACTGCCTTAAGAATAATAATTCAATAAAAAAGAAATCGAGATGCTTTTTTTCGTTAGCAATACATGAAACTAGTGCTATATAAAAATGTTATAGTTCGTATGAGGAATAGTCTGGTACAATTTTAGTTGGACCAGACAGTGAAGCAATAGTCATACGTTAAAGAAAGGTATCATGCATTATATTTACAGATATTTTTCAAGTTCCACTTGCACAAGTTTGGTTCCATGAGCAAATGCAGGAGAAACCGCCTCGAGAGTTTATATATTAATTTCTTTTCCAAGTTTATCAACAAAGGATTTTAATTTTAATCATAATTTCCTTCCCAATTAGAATGTTTAGAATATTTTAAAACATTTTCATTGTGGTTCTTTAATTAATGCAATAAATACATATACCTACATTTGCGAATTATTCATAAAACGTGCCTTATTTAGCCATTGGAAGCTTATTATTAGTGACCGATAAACTTGAAACATTATTTTTCTTTTCAATATTGATTGTGCAAGTTTTATTAGCATATAGAAAGTTTCAATATTGTTAATTCTGTTTCATTTCAAAAATCAATTAGAGCTTATTATCGATTTTTTTTTACAGGAAAAAATTCACTAGACGGAAAATCAGCCCAAACATCGAAAGCTACAGATACAAATCCAGGAGAATTACTAAGGGCTACTAGCAAATCCTCCATGTACGCCTCTAGTATGAAGGTTAGTGTTTTATTTTTCAAATTTACAATAATTACCTAATTATTTTAATTTAGATTGGCAATGGAGGGTACTGCATTATGGAATGTCCGTTATGCTTCGGAGAAGCACTGTTTGAGGATTTCTGCGAACTAGCCGCTTGTGGACACAGGGCTTGTGTAACATGCTTCCGACAGTACCTGAGAGTGGAAATTACTGAGTCTAGAGTATGTATTTCTTGTCCTGAGTGTCTGGAGCCGATGCATCCAAATGGTGAGTCACGTCAAATTATGCTAATTAGAATCTCCACATGCAATAATCTATTTTATCTTGAATACTGCGCTTGTTTATGGGTGTTTTGCAAAATATCAATGCAATAAATGTTTATTTTTAAGTTACTTAAAGGACTGGGAATTTCCAATTTACTCAATGCACAATAATATATTATTTTTACAGAAATTAAAAGTATCCTGAATAATCCGGCACTGTTTGAGAAATATGAGGATTTTATGGTACGCAGGGTACTTGCTGTCGATCCAGACACAAGGTAATAATTAAATTATTGTTTAAACATTTTTCTCATATTTTGTCGCTTTTAGATGGTGCCCAGCTCCAGATTGCAGTTTTGCCGTGATAGCGTGGGGATGCGCGAGCTGTCCCAAACTACGCTGCGAGCGTCCCGGATGCCATTTGTACTTTTGTTACCACTGCAAGGCCGAGTGGCACCCGAATCAGACATGCGATGCAGCAAGGGCACAACGTTCTCCCAATATACGTTCATCTTCTGTAGCTTACAGTCAGGACTCTCACAGTGAGTATAAGTTCAATTTGTATTAAGAGCAAGTTAATGATTTTGTGTATCTGACTACGTGACATATGTAAATTTAAACAGTCGTAAACGTTTCATGGCCTACCTCTACCTTCAAATGTAATCTGATTTTGTCGTTTTCTAATTGACCCAAGTAGATGGTGGAATAGTTGCCCACTGTTATAAATGGGAGAAAGGTTTGTCAGTGTACTACCAAAATACAAGCATCTAGGATGAAGGATCCAACTTTTCTCTGAAACAAACGATTGCTCCATGAACTGACTCCACAAACGGACCTCAGATCCTTGCGATTCATTACCGCCAAATAACCACTACTTTCTGGCCACGTCCACTGATAGATGGAATCAAGCCAGTTCAGACTTGAGGTTATAAATGTCTAGCTTCTGCAGAACCACCCTATGATTGACATAGTTCAATGCCAAGTCTGAGAAAACTGCTGCTACTGACTTGAAAGCTGAATTGACTAATGTGGATAATTCTGAAATCCATCAATGAAGGAGGCTATTCGTTTTCCAATAGTTTTCACAAATATATCAGAAATAGTTCATTATCTGTAAATTTCCGAATTGTCTGGAGCAACTCTGTATTTTTATGAAATTCTCTAACATCATTAGTTATCCAAGGCTTCCTAGTTTTTTCTTTGCTATTCTGGATGAGAAAAGCCGTATTAAAAACATTTTAAAATTAAATTTGAATTTTCTGTACTATTGGACTAACAGCCTACTAACCTAAAAGACAATTATTATAGACATCTTCTTCTTCTTCTTCGTCAGCTCGTGTCCATCCATTGTCGGATATAGGCCTCTTCCAGGTTTTTCCTTGTCCCGCGATCTCTCGCTAATCTCATCCATTATCCCCCTGCCACCGTTCTGACATCGTCTATCCATCTCTTTTTCGGTCGTCCCACATTTATTGTTGTTCCTCTTGGTCTTCAGAATGCCGTTTTCTGGGTCCATCTATCTGGGTCCTATCTCGCCACATGTCCGATCCTTTACCACTTCTGGCGTGCTACCCTTTTCACAATATCCGTCACTTTGGTTCTATCTCATGTATCTGATCATTTCATATTTTATTCCTTGAACATTATTCTCTCCATGGCTCTCTGTGCGACTCTCAGTTGCTCAGCTGCTCTTCAGGTTATTGCCATAGTTTCTAAGCCGTAGGTAAGAACCAGCAGAATACAACTGTCGTAGGCTTTCCTCTTTAGTTTTATGGGTACTTTTTTATCTATAAAAATAAAATTCATGTTTCTGAATGCCACCCATGCCAAATGGATCCTGCGTTTGATTTCCGCCGTTTGGTTTTCTTTGCCCAGCTTAATTTTATCTCCTAAGTATATGTAATATTCTACATTTTCTATAGTAACATTGTCTATGGTGATGTTACCTTCATTTTTGCTCATTATTTTGGACTTGTTAAGGTTCATTTTCAGGTCTATTTTCTTGGATTGTTCGTTTAGCTCGTTTACCATGTTGTTCAGTTCTTGAATGTTGGTGTTCATTAAGACTATATCATCTGCAAATCTGAGGTGATTGAGGTATACTCCATCGATGTTTAGGCCCTTGTTTTCCCATTCCAGCTTCGTAAAAACATTCTCCAGTGCTAGGGTAAATAGCTTGGGAGAGATGGTATCCCCCTGTCGTACTCCTTTACCAAGTGATATTTTGTCTGTTCCAAAATATTCGTCTATTTTTACGTGAAAGGTTGCCTTATTATAGATGTTCTCAATAAGGGTAGAGTATCCCGAATCGATTCTTGCATCCTCCATTGCCACTAGAAAAGACCAGGTTTCAACGCTGTCAAAGGCTTTCTGCTAGTCCACAAACGCCAGATGGGGTATGTTATATTCTGTTCTTTTCTCGATGACTGCTTTAATTGTTTGCAGATGGTCTATAGTGCTAAAGCCCCTTTGAAAGCCGGTGTGTTCTACCGGTTGGTAGGAGTCCAGCTTCGCAGTCAGTCGATAATTCTAGTGAAAAAATTATATAGGTGTGATTGCAGGCTTATAGGTCTATAGTTTTCTATATTTGAACGATCCCCTTTTTTGTATATTATCACGATTTCGGCATTTTTCCATAGCTCCGGAATTTTTCCCTCTATCAGGCATTTGTTTAACAGCATTCCTCTCTGTTGGTGTTTTTCTACCCATCTTTAGCATTTCCGGTGATATTCGATCTCCTCCCGGACTCTTGCCGTTTTTCATCTGTTGGAGTGCGTAATTAATTTCTGATGGTGATATTTCCGGCATGTCTTCTGAGCCTATGTTTGTAATGTGTTTAGGTGGTCAATTTGGGCTTGTTATAGTTGTTTGGTTAAGCTGTTCGTAGAATATTTGTATTTCCCTTCTAATTTCCTGGTTGTCTGTGATTAGGATTCCTTGATTGTTTCTTATTTTCATAATTTTCTATTTTTCCTTCTCTTAGTTCGATCTTAAAACTGTCATGCCTTTATTTTTCTCTATAGTTTCCAGGATTTTGTTTTCTCTTCGGTCTTTTCTTATTTCTTTTTTCGTTGTCTTATTTAGGGTATTATATTCTGGGGAGTCTCTTGTCAGTTTTTCTTCTTTTTCTTATTAGTTATATCGTCTCTGGTTTTAATTTGGTATCTGATCTCTGTCTTATCCTACTGCATGTTTTCTTTGTGGCTGTAGTTATGCCATTTTATTGAGAATTTCATACATCTGTTAAAACTGGTATTCCAACAATAAATTGACATGTTTTGATTGTTGATTTGAACCAATCAGATTTTAATTACGCTATAGAGTCCGTCCATAAACTACAGTAGCGCCCTCTTTCAACAGCAATGTAAGTTCTTGTATTATGACAAGTGCTTGATTCCATTTACACAAATGTAATTTTTGTTATTAAAAACGATTTCAAAGCGAAATATTTTTCATTATAAAGGTACGGTTGTTTACACGGAACAATTGTATTTAATTTCACTTTTTTTCTTGTAATTATTATTTGCCAAACGCTTTTTATTATCTTTTATTCAGGCTATTGTGCATACCCACTACTTGTCATGCCTTCACCCAGGAACAGTTTCACAAATTATTGTGTTGTTAACTGTGGGAATAATTATGCCAACACAAGTGGAAATGTTCACTTCTACAGTTTTCCTAGTCGGTCCCATGATCAGCAAAGACACAGGAACTATACACTGAGTTTTCGTATTGATTTATTGTCTTTTTTTTTCATAAAATAGATTTTGACATTGTCAGCTTTGAAACGTAAACAATACCTCTTGGCCCTGATTGGTCGCAAAGGAGGTGTCCCTGCAGGTTGACATCATGGTGATTTCCATTTGCCAGTCAGTGCGCAGTAAGTTTATCCGCATCTTTTCTAAAAGCATGTAACATGTAAGGATAAGGATAAAAAAAAATTACACTGGTTCGATAAATGGAAATTGCTATCAGTGCAAATGGCATGTTCCGACCAAAAAGCGGCATTGTTATGTTTCAAAGTTGAGGATGTCAAAATCTATCTTGGCGAAAAAAAAAGCCTGTAGTTACTTTACTCTTTATCGTTTTAAGATCCAATTCAAAAAATAGTAAAATGTGGGAGCCAGAAAGACAGTCAAGGATTTGTAGCGTCTATTTTATTGTTATACCTAGCTCAACAGCATAAGGAGAGCTGTTTATGGAGGTTTGGCGCATAACATGCCCTTTCAAAATGGATAAGTCCCCTCCAAAATCTCGTTCAACTACTTGCAATACATGTTTAGCTTTCACTAGAGCCACACCTTTTTTGTATGCCGCTTCGTGGTGATTAAATTTTATATTTTGGAAACGAAAATGTATTTCCAGCTCCATTTTTCGAAATTCTAGTGAAAATTTGACAAACTATTAATACAAAAACTTTTGACATCTCTCACTAGGGGTCGCGAATTTCAATTTGTGACCAGTCCCTATAATTTGCACTACACCATTTCCAACAGTATTTCAAAATGGGTCAAATGTATTTCAAAATAATCACTTTTATTTCAAAAATGGATATTTTAATTTCCAATTTGTCACTTTTATTTCCAAATATATCATTTGTATTTCAAATTAATCAAATATATTTCAAACTGTATCATTTATACTTCAAAAAAAATCAGATGTATTTCAAAATCATCATTTCTTATATCATCAAAAACTGTAAGGGAGGTACAGGGTGTCTGGTTATAATTTGATTTTTTTAACTGTACGATATAAACACATACTTTATTTTTTAACCGAATTGGTAATCTTTGAAATAAAACTGACCATTTTTGGAATACATTTCACTAATTTGAAATACATTTGATGTATTTTGAAATAAAATTCATAAAGATTGAAATCAAATTTACGCTTTTTGATATTCAAATGATGATTTTGAAATACATTTGATATTTTTTTAAATTAAAGTTTTTATTTTGAAATACATTTGATGCTTTTTGAAATCAACTTTATCTATTTTGAACTAAAAGTAGAAATGGTGTAGTGCAAATTATCAGATAATTGCATACTAACTGGTGCGAAAACTGGTATTTTCACATTTTTTGACAAAAAATTTGAATTTTTGATTTATGAAATTCTCTCATTAAATACAACTCGTGCAATGGAAATATATTTATAATTTTCGACAAATTTGCACTGATGCGTTTTTAACTGAAAAAAGCACTCGTGCACTTCGTGCTCTTTTTCAACTAAAAATGCATTCGGGCAAATTTCCCAAAAATTATCAATAATTTCCATTGCACTAGTTATATTACTATTGAGGATTTCATCTCTGTCCTTATCCTAGAGTGCCGTGGGCCTTAGCGTCTTCTCCAGTTCTTTTTGATAGGTTTCCTGATTGAGTTGCAGGACATCTGTTGTAGAGAATCTATGTCTGGTAACTAATCTCCTCCTTTCTATATTGGTGTTTATTTGTATCTTGGCACGCACTAGTCTTTGGTCGTTTCCTGAGTCAAACCTGTTTAGCACTGTGGCATCTTTGCAGATAGTGTTCCTGTTAGCG